TAAAGACAGGAGGACCCCATTAAGAACTCACAGCAATATGGAACCCAGGAGGCAGAGGTTCCAGTGAAACAAGATCGCGCCACTGCACTCTAGCCTGCGTGACAGAGCGAGACTCCATCTCAAAAAAAAAAGAATTCACAGCAATCATCTGGGTGAGAACTGACCAGGGAAATCAGTGGTGATGGGTACCGAGAGAGGAGCACACAGTCAATCAACAGTGAGGGTGGGCTCAACAGGACTTATAGACTAATGAGATACAGTGTACACAGGGCAAGAGGTGTTAAAGACACCTGGCCACTATCCTGATGAAGGAGGGAGAGGGGAATGGGCTGCTTGGGAGAAGAAACCTGTAGGGCTTGGAGATGTGAGATGCTCCAGGCCCACCCTGGAGAACAGCATTTGCATCCTCCACTGAGCAGATATTGTGGGGAGGAGCTAGCACGGGTGGTGAGAAGCAAACAGCGTGGAAAGTAAGAAAGAGCATGATTACTGCAGCCTCCTGCAGAGAGCCGACAGCCTCCCTGAAGCTCTTTTCTCTGCTCACCAGGCCATGCAGCCCCTTACTCAGGGACACAGCTCTAGAGACAGAGGAGTGACTGGATAACAGAAAGGGAAACAGGGGTGCAAGGGTGTGCAACTCATGGCGGCAGGGTGTAGTGCCAAGCTGGGGCCTCTGGCAGCAGCTGAGGTGTCAGGGAACACAGATGTGAGGAGGGCCCATCTCACCAGTGGAAGCTCACGGGGAGGTTTTCAAGCCGCATCCGAGCTAGGGCTGGCAGGACTGAGGACGGATTCTATGCTTCATGGGGAGAGGACCAGGGTGGCTCCTTTCCCACGTATAGGCATACGTTTGGGTGATGGCGTCATTACCTTGGTGTTCCCTACACCCTGTTCCAGAAATTTTGAGAAGCTGGGAGGAGCCAGCAACCTGCTCACGTCTGTGAAATAGACCCTGCCCCTAAACTGTCCTCTATAGATATAGAGACTGCAGGCCAGGGCAGGGGGGCTCCAGGTGCCCAGGGAATATGCTCAGGGTGATCCTCTGACAGCCAGCCCTCAGACGACACGTGGTTCCTAGGAAGGACTTTGAAAAGCTGAAATCTCACCCAGCCACGTGGGCTCCTCGGGAAGGATCCGTGCAAGGGTTCGCAGGTCCACCCTCCCCAGGCTCACAGAGAAGGCCCGGGCTGAGGGGTGGACCACAGGTTTCACTTGCACAAGACCATAGCTTTGGGTTTGAAAAGGGCACATTTATTGAGTACCTACTATGTGCCAAGCTCTGTACTAGACACTGAGGATACAAAGATAAATGTGACATGGTCCCTGCCTTTAAGAAGTTCACAGTTCATTGGAAAAAACTGACATACAACCAAATAATTAGAATGTGTAAGGCCATTCTAAGGATTAAATGAGCTGGGTATAGTAAGTGGGAGACAACACTAAGTCATTTAATCCTCACACCAACAGCCTGGGAGAGGTGGCATTGGCCCAATTTACAGGAGAAGAAAGTGAGGTTACATTGGTGAAATCACTGCCTCAGGTCATACAACTAGGAAGAGACACTGCCAGAGGAGTGCTGGAGCGCCACACAGCCTCGTGAGAGTCACTTCTGGGCCTCTCTGCCCAGCTGTTTGCTCTGTGGTATCTCACTGGTGGCTTGAAACCTACCAACAGATGGCTCACAGAAATCGGCAAACACTACCAAGCAGGTGACAGCCTGGATTCAGGTTCCAGCTTTAAACTAAAGACTCTCTCCAGTCCCCCCTAGAACATTATCTGAATTGAACTGCCCACCCCCTCTAAAAAGGCTGCCTCCCCAAGAGACTCACAGCAGCTTGCCCTGGACAAGACCAAAAAAGACAATGGATGTGGTCTGCCTTGGGAGTCCCCAAGGGCTGTGCAACGCAGTCAAGTCACCGTCCACTCTTCAGCTCTGAGCTAGCATCTCAGCAGACACATCTGGGCCAGATAAGCCAGTGGGCCTGGGATGGGAGGGACAGAGTGGACGAGGAGGAAGAGGGGGCTGCGAGGGAGAGCACGTTCCTTTCTCTAGAACGCTCATCTGGAGAATGTGGTGTGATGAGTTGATTAATCTCCATCTCCCTCACCAGCACCACAAAGACAAGGGCTGTGGCTGGTTTCACTAACCATGGTAGCCCAAGTGCAAGCACCACACCTGGGCAACAGGAAGCCCCACACCAAGATTTGTTGAGTGAATGAATGAGCTAATGAATGAAGCAGGAGGCCATAAATGCTGAGGGTGTACACCTGCCTCCCTCCAGCATCTTCTACCCACCCTATGAGGAGGGAGGGGAGGCCGCAGGAGAGCTGGGCCACCTGGGGTAGAGTCCAGGTTCTGCTACTTACGAGGTAACCTGTGGCTCTGCGTCCTCCGCTGTAAAACGGGGTCTGTGGGGTTGTCCTGAGAAGTAAATGAGTTAACATTTGTGAAGTACCTGGCAGGCAGTAAGCGCTACGTGTGTTAAATGATAAGGAAGACACCCCACCTCGCCCTCCACTCCCCAGATCACTCTGCCTGTGGGCAGAGACCATTTTCTCCTCTGCTCTTTCAAGGTAACTGTTCGGCCCTTTCCACCCCGAGAGGGTTTCCCTGGGGTAAAGAACCACCGCCTTGTCAGAGCTCCGCGTCCTCCCCTTCTCCCCACCCCGTCCCACCTCCAGCGTCCCCACCCACCCACCTCTGTCTCTCTGTAAGTGACCCTGAGCCCCGTCCAGCTCCGCCAGGCCCCCAAGCTCGCGGAAGGGGCCCCAGCAGCCCCGCTGCGGGCTGGGGGTCCGGGAGGCTGCAGGTTGGACGCGCCACCCCAGTCAGAGCAAGGGCTCGGCCCGCATGCCGCGGGCGCCACCCAGTGGCCACCTGCGGAATCGGCGGCGGAGGCGGCCTACAAGAGCCTGGAGGCCCAGAGGGTGCCCCGACTGACAAAAGGGAGAGAAGGTGGAAGGAAGGGCGTATCACCAAAGGTCATAGAGCAGTTCATTCAGTCCAGGAAGCAGTGATCCGTGGGCAGGGCTGCAAGGGCGCCGATGCACAGAGCCTGCAGGGGCCCTTTTCTCCCTGTGGGTTAGACATCCCCGGCCCCAGGAGACCCCTCCCATAGGACAATCTTTGGCATGAGTCTGAGGTTCCTGCTCCTGGAATCTCTGGCTTCCCTGTACCGAGCGCATTACACCCACAGCGCCACAGCTCTGGGCTAATGAGAAGACAAAGACGGGACTCTACACCCTGACGCTGGAGAAGCGCCTCGCTCCCTGGCTGGGGTCTCTAGGGAACAGCATTTGGCGTAGAGTCCAGGTTCTAATCCCAGCTCTGCCCTGACTCTACGTGTGCCCAGCCCATCTGTGCCTCGATGTTCCCATCTGCGGAAAAATGATGATAAAAATAAAAATCTACCCAACCTCCTTTCCGGAGGTGGGGGAGGTGAGGCTTGCACGAAATAATGCTGACAAAAGCATTTTGAAGACCAAAAACCATGGTATTCAAAGTTTCCGATCTGTGATGGCTTTAGTAACCAGGTGAATACAAGAAATTACAAATACACTTACTTAAAGAGTAAGCCCCTCAAGTTCTGACATTAAAAACTCCTCAAACAAGAGACTTTTGTTTGGAGGGGAAAGAAAGGAGCATGCAGCTGAGATCCAAAAATACAAAGTTCCATATGGGAAATTTAAATGATCTTAAGGATTTTACTATATAAAATTTAGAAGGCAGCTCGCTCTTCAGGAAACCAGTAGAATAGACATTACAATCCCCAAAGACGTTTGGAGGACGAAGGAGAAGCCAAAAGTTAACTACGATCCTACTTGATCCACTTCAAAAGCAGAATCACAGAACCTCACAGTGACCTAGGACATCCCAACAGCCACCAGCATCTATCCAGAGTGCACATGAACACCTCCGCCTGCCCACTTGTATGGGGCTATTCCTTGCACAAGAACAAATCCACCTGCAGACCCCATTCTGATAGCCACAGCGGTGGAACCCAGGCCCCTGACTATTGGCCCAGTATCATGAGAACAAAGCTGTCCCTCACCTCAGAGTTCAGACCTGGAATCTCAAGGCAGGATGAGAACTGACCCCAGAGTGAGGGAGGGAGGCAGCCCTGGCCCAACCTCTACCCCCAAAATAGAGCAGCGAGCCAAACAGCATTCCCTCACTGCCTGTGTACCATGGGTAGCAGCTGCGGGGAAAGCGAGAACACCTGCTTCAGGAGAGAGGACTGGGGCAAGCTGAGCAGGGGCCCAGCACCTGGCAGGGCAGGGCAGACCCGAATGAGGGATTTCAGCTCCTCTGATTAACACATCTCAAAGTCCGTTTTTTCTGTTGGTTTGTTTGTTTTGTTTTGTTTTGTTTGAGACAGAGTCTCACTCTGTCACCAGGCTGGAGTGCAGTGGCATGATCTCGGCTCACTGCAACCTCTGACTCCCGGTTCATGCCATTCTCCTGCCTCAGCCTCCCAAGTAGCTGGGACTACAGGTGCCCACCACCACGCCCAGCTAATTTTTGTATTTTTAGTAGAAACGGGGTTTCACCATGTTGGCCAGGATGGTCTCCATCTCTTGACCTCGTGATCCGCCCACCTCGGCCTCCCAAAGTGCTGGGATTACAGGCGTGAGGCACCGCGCCCGGCCCTAAAAGTCCTTTTTGATATGCAGGGTCCTGTGCGGATCCTAGCAGCCCCCTCCTTTTCCCTCCCCTCTCTTACTGTCTTCCTTCCCTCTTACTGTCTTCCTTCCTAAGTAGAGAGGGGCGCATACACCATCACAGCCTGTGTATTTCTGCTGCACAGTGTTTTTGTCCCAGTTGGTTCTGTTTCTCAGGCTTTTCTTCCTCCTTGCATCACATGGTACCATGCAATATCTATTTCCTCTGTGGTCCTCCAGAGTGCCAGAATCTCTGGGAGGGAGCTTTGACAGACATCTCTTCTGAGTCCCCCAGGCGGCGTGGGTTGTTGGATTTTACTGAGCTCAACTGTCTAAGTGCACTCGCACAGAGGCAGGCAGAGGGATGAGACGCCTAGCAGCCAAGTGGACAGCACTCTGATGCCAATTCTCATCCTGTTTAGAAGTTCCAGGTCCTGGATTCTGAGGTGAGGGGCAGACCCAGTCCCATGGTAGCAGTATTGGTTTCAAATTAATTCAACAATTCCCTGTTGCTCTTACTCTGGCTTCAGAGCTGTGCTGGGTATTGGGGGACTTCAAAGGCAGGATGAGAAGATCTCAAGACTCCCTCACCCCACCTTTCATTCTGACCCAAGGAAGAAGAGCACTCATCTGGTTGGCCAGACTTCAGGACATATTTGCAAGTGGGTGTGGTCACTATGCATAAAAGATAAGCTGAGGATGTGGCTGCAGAGGTTCTCTGTTCACCCAGCAGATGCACTTCATGGGCCCAGGCTGAGGCACTGTCCTTCCATGTGGCTGGCTAGAGCACAAGAAGAGCAGAGATTTGGGGAGAACAAGGCCCCCATACTCAGCCCAGCTGACCCCAGTTCTCTGCATGGGGTTTATGGTCCAAGCCCAGCTACCAGCAAAGGTAACTTCCTCCTCTATTCTTCCTCTAGGGCTCCCTCTGGGACTTTGCAGGTAGTGGTTGCTAGGGTCTAGGTCTGCCTGGATGCCCTAGCCCTTACACATGGATTAGCACCTCAGTACTGCCAATAGCTTTGATAAGGAGTCATCACCCTCCAGCTCAGCAGGGAGGCTAGCACAGTGCTGAAGGAGGACGGAAGAGCTAGAATATGGCTTCATCAGGGAGTTGGGAAAGGCTTCACAGAGACAGCAGAGTTTAACACTGGCCTTGAAAGACACATAGAGGCCAGGTGCAGTCGCTCACGCCTGTAATCCTAGCACTTTGGGAGGCCGAAGCGGGTGGATCACAAGGTCAGGAGATCGAGACCATCCTGGCTAACACAGTGAAACCCCATCTCTACTAAAAATACCAAAAAAAAAAAAAAATTAGCCGGGCTTGGTGGTGGGTGCCTGTAGTCCCAACTACTCAGGAGGCTGAGGCAGGAGAATGGTGTGAACCTGGCAGGCAGAGTTTGCAGTGAGCCCAGATGGCACCACTGCACTCCAGCCTGGGCGACAGAGCGAGACTCTGTCTCAAAAAAAAAAAGAAAAGAAAAGAAAGAAAGAAAGACACATAGGATTCCATAGAAATTTGGAGGCAAAATTGACAAATGGGATCTAATTAAACTAAAGAGCTTCTGCACAGCAAACAAAACTATCATCAGAGTGAACAGGCAACCTACAGAATGGGAAAAAACTTTTGCAATCTACCCATCTGACAAAGGTCTAATATGTAGAAAAATGTGTAAAACTAGAATCACCTAATTTTGAGAATCTACAAAGAACTCAAACAAATTTACAAGAAAAAAACAAACAACCCCATCAAAAAGTGGGCAAAGGATATGAACAGACACTTCTCAAAAGAAGACATGTATGCAGCCAACAAACATACGAAGAAAAGCTCATCATCACTGGTCACTAGAGAAATGCAAATCAAAACCACAGCAAGATACCATCCCACGCCAGTTAGAATGGTGATCATTAAAAGTCAGGAAACAACAGGTGCTGGAGAGGATGTGGAGAAATAGGAACACTTTTACACTGTTGGTGGGTGTGTAAATTAGTTCAACCATTGTGGAAGACAGTGTGGTGATTCCTCAAGGATCTAGAACCAGAAATACCATTTGAACCAGCAATCCCATTGCTGGGTATATACCCAAAGGATTATAAATCATTCTGCTATAAAGACACATGCACACGTATGTTTATTGCAGCATTGTTCACAATAGCAAAGACTTGGAACCAACCCAAATGCCCATCAATGATAGAGTGGATAAAGAAAATGTGGTATATATACACCATGGAATACTATGCAGCCATAAAAAAGGATGCGTTCATGCCCTTTGCAGGGACATGGATGAAGCTGGAAACCATCATTCTCAGCAAACTAACACAGGAACAGAAAACCAAACACCACATGTTCTCACTCATATGTGGGAGTTGAACAATGAGAACACATGGACAGGGAAGGGAACGTTACACACCAGGGCCTGTCGGGGGGTGGGAGGCAAGGGGAGGGATAGCATTAGGAGTAATTTGTAATGTAGATGATGAGTTGATGGGTGCAGCAAACCACGATGACACGTGTATATCTATGTAACAAACCCAGGAGTTCAAGGTTACAGTGAGCTGTGACTGTGACACTGCACTTCAGGCTGGGTGACAATGAGACCCCGTCTCTTAAAAAAAAAAAAAAAAAAAATTTTCACCTAATTTAGTAGATACCTGGGAGCCACTGAAAGCTATTGAGCAGGGGAAGGATCTGAGTGCTAAAAGGATAACTCTAGCAGAAGTGTGCAAGACGAATTGGAGCCAAACAAGGGGTGGGAGGACCAGTTAGAATGCAGAGGCAGCAACCCAGGCAAGCAGAATGTAAGGGCGGGGTGGTGGAGCTAGACCAGAGGCCCCAGGTGGAGCGAGCATGGAACCTGGAGGGCTTCATCCCAAGGAAGAGACAAGCTGGACTGCGGAAGATCGCTCTAACGGCTACAGGACAATGAGGGTGCCCGCTAAAGAACCTGGGAAGATGAGGAAGGCGGGGCTGGTTTGCAGAAAAATGAACCTGGCCACCTACCCCAGACCTCTCCACCTCACCTACTACCACTGCTCCCAGAATACACCTGCAGTGGTGTCCCTGGACTGCTGTAGTCAAGAGCTGGAATATCCTCCCCCAGCTCCCCTGCCCTTCCTCACCAGGCTCTCTCACTTATTCTTCAGTTCTCAGCTCCAGCATTGCCTTCTCCTAGAAGCAGCCCCCAAGTCCCACAGTCAGACTTAGTCAAATGCCCTTCTTCCTCCCCAGTACAGTTTCTCACTCACCTCCATCCTAACACTTGTGCTGGGTGAACTGCAGTTACTGTTCACTTCTGTTTCCCCAGTCTTCCCAAAGCCTTTTGAAGACACGTGTTTAGTTTATCCAACATGTATGCAACAATATTTATTGAGCACCTACTATGTTCTAACTCCCAGGTGCTGAGAACTCGCTGTGGAGCAAGGAATGCTTGGTCCAGTGGAGGAAGGAGGTGGCCATTTGAACCGATGCACGGCTAGCTCTTCTTTGACTCTTTGTTCTTCACCACTAGCAAGGCCTGGCACAGAGAAGACTAAATAAATGGTGGTGGAGTGAAAGGAGGACATAATGATTGGGAAGTGTGGCAGGACATCCAGAAAGCAACTAGGAACAGAGGGCTGGAGCAGGAGACGTGACCACAGAGGGATATTTTTGGAATTCTGCCCTGCTCATCTGTAAGTCTGTGTGAGTTGCATTAAACCTGATGTGGAGAGTGCGTGGGGGTCTCAGAGCTTAAAGGAAATATGAAGACAATGAGCAAGCTCCCACCCACATTGCCTCTGCACTCCCAGCACTGCTTGCATGAGCAGGGGACAGACACATCCCTGGCACAGGGAGGCTGTTCCCACTCGGAGCACATCTGTTGAAGGAATGAGGACACCAAGTCTGCCCACACCCTAAGGCCAAACATCAGTTGAGCATCCAACACTTACACTACCGAAAGCTGCTGTCCAAGGAAGCATGAGAGACAGTGGGGAAAAGCACAGCTGCCTCCATGCAGTGTCCCAGCAGCAAACCATGTCTGCAGGCTCTAGACCCACCAGTGATTTTTCTTCTCTTCCTAATTCAATGCAAGGTTTCAGCTCCATCTGAGTGCCTGTGGCACTGAGAAAATTAAATGTAGATTTAATTAATCCCAAATGATCTTGGCTCACTGCAACCTCCACCTTCCAGGTTCAAGCAATTCTCCTGCCTCAGCCTCTCAAGTAGCTGTTCATGCAAAGTGACATTGAAAATGGAAAGACCCTATTCTGGGCATCATTTCTGCTGGTCCTAAAAAAGAGTTATCCAAATTCCCACTCAAGAGCTCCCCTTCTGGCTCCCTGGGGGAAGCCAGCCCAGGTGAGGGCTCCTTCACTCTCCTGCAACTCTAAAATGCACTGTGTAAGTTCTTGTGGACAAATTGCCATTAGGAACAGCTTCCAGTTGTCTGAAAACACCTGCGAGTAAACAACCCCATCCCAGTCAAACTGTATGGCTTACCTTTGGAGGTTTCTGAACTTCTGAGCCCTTTTGCCATCCTAGCCCCACCTCTATAGTGCCTATGACCTTCAGCTCCTCCTCCAATGAAGATTCTAGACTGAAAGGTCCATGAAGAAGGAGCCATGCCATGGTTCACTATCACAGCATCTAGTACATCTCCTGGAACATAGTAGGCCCTTGCTAAGGATTTGCTATGTGGATTCAACACCTCTCTTGTATAAGATATAAAGATGTATAGGAGGCCGGGTGTGTTGGCTTACACCTGTAATCCCAGCACTTTGGGAGCCCAAGGTGGATGGATCACCTGAGGTCAGCAGTTTGAGACCAGCCTGGCCAACATGGTGAGATCTTGTCTCTACCAAAAATACAGAAACTAGCTAGGTGTGGTGGTGCGCACCTGTAATCCCAGCTACTTGAGAGTCTGAGGCAGGAGAATCGCTTGAACCCGGGAGATGGAGGTTGCAGTGAACCGAGATCACGCCATTGCGCTCCAGCCTGGGCAAGAAGAGTGAAACTCCGTCTCAAAAAAAAGATGTATAGGATACGTTTCCCACCTTGGGACCCATCCTCCTTCACAGGACACAGTCTGGAGAGGGTGTCCCAGGTCTCTTCCCACCAACAGTCCTTTCTCCGGATGTGCCAGGGCTGGCCATTCCCAGCAGTGAGACGCACTCCTGGGTGGCACCAGGGTCAGAAGAGCATGGGTCTAGCCATGGTGGCTCCTTTAGCCCTCCACTCAGGACCTTCCTCCAAGCCTACAAATAATGCAGGCTGGCCTCCCCCATTCTCGACCCTCATTTTCCCCCATCAGCTCAGCACTCCCTGTTCCCTCTAGGATGCTTCCAGGAATATACAGCACCGTTTCAGAGAGGATTGAATGGCATGGCTTCTTTAGCAACCTAGAACACTTAAGCCAGCCAAATTCCTGCTTTATTTCACACAACCAGGTATAACAGCAGAATTCTTCGTCCTCATTAGAAAGCTGTTAGTGCATAGTCCATAGAGACAGACATCATGGTTAAGAGGCAGGTTCAAGAGCCTGGACACCTCAACTCCATCCTGGCTCTGCCACTTGCTTTCTAGTGGTGTTGGGGAAAGTGCTTCATCTCTGCTGGGGTCAGTTTTCTCACCTCTAAAATGAGGTTGATATTAATAGTTCCTACCTCATTGGGATATTATGAGGGTTAAATGAGATCATCCGTCTAAAGCACTTAGAAAGTGAGTATGCAATACAAACCTTCATTATTATCTGTATTTACAGTTTACAGAGGGCCCCACCAGAGGTGTTAACTCTAATTTACAAATATGAGAGGGTGCACACACACTCGCTCTCTTTTCTCAATTTAGGGCAGCACATTCCACTTCACCTTTCTATCCCCAGGAGGCTCCTTTCTGCCTCCTCATGGAAACACCTCCACCAAATCCCACTGCCTCTCCCCCAGCCCACAAAACTGGTCATCTCCCATGCCCTCCTGTCTGCTCTGTATTAATCAGCACAGCCTGTTTCAGATGCCCCCCAAAGCTTAGTGGCTCAACACAACAAAGGCGAGTTTTGCCTTCAGAGTCCAATATGAGTTGAGTGTAGGGGACATTCTACTCCACTAAGGCATTCGGGGACCCAGGCTCCTCCCAAGTAGCTCCACTGTCTTTCAGGGCCTTGGAGTCCCACCCTGGGTCTCCTGCATCCAACAAGCAGACGGGAAGAGAATAGAGGGAGGATGGTCTGGCAGGTTTTAGGACCGTGCCAGGCAGGGCTGCTCATCCCTTTAGCCCACCTTCCGCGGGCCAGAAAACCAGCCCCATTGTTAGCAGCGGTGAATTTGCAGAGGTGTGCAGCAGCTTGATTCTTGTCCTCTCAGAGGAAAGAATTCGGCTGAGGGGCAGAAGTAGTTTTAAGGCAGAGGGAGAGACCGAGGCAAGTTTTAGAGCAGGAGTGAAAGTTTATTAAAAAGTTTTAGAGCAGGAACAAATGGAAGTAAAGTACACTTCGAAGGGGGCCGAGCAGGTGACTCGAGAGATCCAAGTGTGCCATTCAGCCCTTGACTTGGGGTTTTATATATTGACACGGTTCCAGGGTTTCTGTTTCTCCTCCCTTGATTCTTCCCCAGGGGCGGGCTGTCCAGGGCTGCCCACTTGCATGGTGGCCTGCCGGCACTTGGGAGGGGCCACATGCACAGCATGTTTACTGAAGTTGTGCACATGCTTATTTGAGGCATTTCTCCCCTTACCAGTCGAGTGTTCCCAGAGGAAGGTCATATACAGGTTAAACTGTCATTTTGCCTCTTAATGCGCATGCTTGAGCCCACTCGCCCGGCTCCTGAGATCTTCCCAGGAAGCGGCTGCTCACCAGCTTCAGGTGTTTTCTATTGGGAGACTTCCTTTCCTTGGTGCCAGCTATGCCCAATTATTATTTTAGATTGACAGTTAACAACTGCCTGACCATCACCTGAGGGTTGCCTGACATTGCTGTGGGCGGTGGGGGGGGTCCTCTCCTGCCTTGCTCATTTCTGCTTAGCTTCCTACTCTAATACTATGACCCCACCTTACAGCAGTGGAAGCTCAGAAAGATAACCTTTCTGGCCAGGTGCAGTGGCTCATGCCTGTAATCCTAGCACTTTGGGAGGCCGAGGCGGGAAGAGTTCAGGAGTTCAAGACGAGCCTGGCCAACATGGTGAAACCCTGTCTCTACTAAAATACAAAACTTAGCCAGGCATGATGGCGGGTGCCTGTAATCCCAGCTACTTGGGAGGCTGAGATGGGAGAATCGCTTGAACCCGGAAGACAGTGGTTGCAGTGAGCTGAGATCACGCCACTGCAAGTCCAGCCTGAGTGGCTGAGCAAGACTCCATCTCAGAAAAAAAAAAAAAAAAAAAGATAGCCTTTCCATGTGTCCAGGAGGAGAATCAAACCTGTTTTATGAACATATTGTATTTTTTCTGCTACCTGCTCCTGAAGCAGAGGCTTTTCTGGGAGGAAACTTGAATCTATTCTCTTCAGGCCATTCTCTTAGAAAATAGGCCCAAAGTGATACTCCATGTTTCCCTGCAAATCCTGTAGCAGACGATGTCTCGTCATGAAATCCTGCAGGCAGACATGGGAGAAAGAAGGTGGTCTTCGGGAGAGACGGAGCTGGTGCTGCTCTCAGCTCCGCCGCTCCTTGGCAGCTCAGCTTCCTCCTTTGCAGGAGGGAAGTGGTGGCATGGAGGGCTTTGAGCATTGGTGACAACATATATGAAGAGTGGCCAGGGATATTACTGTCCTTGGCCCTGCTCCCCTGTTCTCCCATCCCCCAACCACCTACCACCACCCGTCCAGAGTCAGAGTCAGGGCTGCCAGGACAGGCACAAGTTCTTCTGGCTGCCTGGGTGGTCTGGTTTGTTTTCAGCCAGTCAACCCCGCTGACAGGGCAGAAACAATGGGGAAGGGGAATAAGGATCAGGACAGCCTGCGAATGTAATTAAGCGAAAGCAAAATCTGAAAACCCAAATCCCTCTCCCGCCCCAACCGATGCCAGCTTGATCTTTTTTGTTTCTGGACCCCGCCCCCAATGCACGCCCCCACACTTCAAGCTCAGCTGATCCAGATGGTCTGTGGATGCTGAGAGCCAAACAGTGTGGGGAATTGGTTGTTTCATAAGCTCCTACAGACTCTGTCACTAATTGTAAACCCATTTGGGACACATTCTGAAACAAGAGGCTTTTCACTAACTTCTAGTTCCTAAACAAACAAACCAACAAACACAAATCAGGATTCATGATTTCTCTCTTATTCTACCCCTTCCCCAGGCTCCTCCTCACCTTGCTTTAAAACAATTACTTGGGAAACAAAGGGCAACACCCACTTCGTGCGCCTCTGGTAATACCGCTGTCACCTACGAGCTCTGGAAGCAAGAGAGTCATTGTTCTCCTAGCAACCCGAACTGCCCCAGCTGCACGTGTCTGGTGCTTGGATTACACCAGCCAGCAGCGGGGGTGTGCATGTTGCTAGGAGAACTTGAACTCGAGTTTAAATTTGCAACCTCTCCTCACTGCCACAGCTTTCTTTCAGCCGCAAACAGACACACGCTCAACTGCAGAATCCACAACACTGGGCCCAACTGGGAAATCCCCAGCCTCAGATAAGACCGGTGTGCTTTTATCCTTTTTTCTTATTTTCTTCTTTCTTGAATTTCAGACAGAGTCGACAACCACACAAATAACTAAGAATTATGAAGATCCATTGTACAATATCGACTGAACACCTCCTATGGCCGGCTGCTGTCCTGGGCACTTCAGACACAGCATGAAGGAAACAGACAGAAGACCTTCCCCTTAGAGAGCTTGTATCTGGGGTAGGGAGGATGCTAAGCAAATAAACACATCAGTATCAGTCAGGGGTCTCCAGACAAACAGAGCCAGGAGTTAGATTAGCTCTAAATCTAGATGACATAGATGTGTGTATGTGTACATATTACATACCTGTATAAAGGAATTTATCTCAGGAATTGGCTCATACAGTTGTGAAGGCTGGCAAGTCTGAGATCTGTGGAGCGGGCTAGCAGGCTGGAAACTCATGTAGGAATTGATGCTGCAGTCCTGGGGCAGAATTTCTTCTTTCATAGGGAAACTTCAGTTTTGCTCTTCAAACCTCTCCACTGATTAGATGAGGCCCACCAAGCTATCAAGGGTAATCTCCTTTACTTAAAGACAGCTGATCGTAAGTGCTTACCACATCTATAAAATACATTCACAGCAACACTAGGTTAGCGTTTGCTTCAATAACTGGGTCTTATAGCTTAGCCAAGTTTGACACATAAAACCAAGCATGCCAAATGCATGCCCAATGTGTTGGGTAGTGATAAGTAAGTACAATGGGGGAAAAGAAAGCAGGTGGAGAGGGACAGGGAGCCCCAGGCAGTGGGGCACAGGAGACCTACCATGTGAGATATAATACATCGTTCAATACAAACTTGAATGAAAAATAAATGAACATACCGAGGCACTGCATTCAAAAAGCACAACAAAATCCTCACTTAGTGACAGATCTGCTTAATCATAACTCTGCAGCACTGGAATTGAGGACAGGAGAGAGGCCATTCGCAGAGCTGTAATTAATATCAGCACAGCCAAAGCAAGAAGCAAGCGTTTAGTCTCCGGTCTTGATGGATCTTCAGAAACAGATCCCTGTCTACAACAGCCTCCTGGCTGAATTCCTGCTTCCACGCTCGCCCCTCCCGCCACTCCTCTGCTCCCACCCCTGACAGTGGTCACAGGTGCCTGGCCTCTTCTCCCCGCCGCCCCCCTTCACTTCCCTGCACCGCCCCCTCCCACTGCAGCTGCAGTCCCGGTAGCTTCTTGCTGGTTCCCCAGCACTCCTTCTCGCTTCCGCCCCGGGCCTTTGCTGCTCCTCCTCCACATCCTGGAAGGGTCTCCTCCCAGCCATGTGCCTGGCTCTCCCCGCACATCCTCCTCAGAAAGGCCAGCCTTGACCACCCCATAAAATAACACCCTCCTCATCACTCTCTGCCTCCTTAGCCCATCTTCTTGGTCTTCATAGCGTGTATGTTAAATATCTGTTTCTCTGTTGATTGTCTTCTCTCATTCTGTTTTTTTAAATTGTAGTAAAATAATATAAAATTTACCATTTTCAATTGCACAATTCAGTGACATTTAGCACATTCCCAGTGTTAGACAACCATCACCACTACCTAGTTCCAGAACATTTTCGCCACCCCAAAGGAAACCCATACCCATTAAGCAGCCACTCCCCATTTCTCCCTCCTCCAAGCCCTGACAATCTGTCTCTGTCTCTGTCTTCTGTCTCTGCGGCTTTGCCTCTTCTGGGTATATTACATGAAAGGAATCATACAGCATGTGGCCTTTTCTGGCTGACTTCTTTCGTGCAGCATGATGTCTTTGAGGTTGGTCCGTGCTGTAGCGTGGGGCAGTACTTCATTCCATCTACGGCGGAAGAGCGTTCCATTGTGCGGGTGTGCCATGTTTGTTTCTCCATTCATCCACTGATGGACATTTGGGTTCTCTGCACCTTCTGCCATTGTGAATGATGCCACAGTGAACATACATGTGTGGTGTTTGTTTGAAGGGGACTCTGTCTCCATCATTTTGTGTCCCTGGCCTGTGAACAGACCTGCAGATTAAACTGTGGACAGCTTAATCTTCAGGCAAATAAATAAAAGGCAAAGTTTGGCATCTAATTTAATTTTCCCCAGGCCCCTTTATCAACCTTCTCTGCCACAGCAAGGCCAAACCTTTGTATCCACACCTAACCAATACCCACACCCTAAGCCAAACCCATCCAACAGAGGGGCAGGGGTCCAGCTGGGCTCCTCCCAGCTCCCTACTTCCCAAAGGTAAGACATCCAGGCCATCGAGCCAAATGTGCCCTTCGGAATTCCCATACAGCCCCAGGATTCCCCCAAAACAAAGCTCTTTGTCCTCAGGTAAAGGCTGACTAGTAGGCTAATAAGACTTTGGATATTTCTTTGAATGGGATAAAATCTCAAATTTTACGATTAGAAATCAGGCCCTGAGAAACATCCCTGGGACTCGTTTCCAGGGCTGCCATAACAAAGTACCAAAACCAGGTGGCTTAAACCAACAGAAATTCATTTTCTCATTATTCTGGAGGCCAGAGGCCTGAAATCCAGGAGTCAGCAGGGCCCCGCTCCCTCTAGAGGCTCTGGGGAGGAGTCCTTCCTTGCCTCTTCCAGCTCACAGTGGTTTCCAGCAGTCTTTGGCCTTGTTCTTGGCATGCAGGTGCCTAATCCCATCTCCACCTCCATCTTCACATGGCATTCCTCCCTTGTATCTCACATCGTCTTCCTTTTTTTTTTTTTTCTTTTGAGACAGTGTCTCACTCTGTCACCCAGACTGGAGTGGCGCCATCTCAGCTCACTGCAACCTCTGCCTCCTGGGTTCAAGTGATTCTCTGCCTCAGCCTCCTGAGTAGCTGGGATTACAGGTGCCCATTACCACACTCGGATAATTTTTGTATTTTTAATAGAGATGGGGTTTCACCATGTTGGCCAGTCTGGTCTTGAACTCCTGACCTCAGGCGATCCATCCACCTCGGCTTCCCAAAGTGCTGGGATTACAGGCATGAGCCACCACACCCGGCCCACATCATCTTCTTAAAAGGACATCACTCATATGGGATTAAGGGCCCATCCTACTCCAGCATGATCTCATCTTAACTAATTCATCTACAATGACCATATTTCCAAATAAGGTCAAATTCTGCAGTAACTGGGGGTTAGGACTTCAACATATCTTTTCTTGAGACATAATTCGTCACTTTGGAGAAGGGGTCATGGGATGCATAGCCTCGATTTTACTAAAGTGTAAATGATTGGTAAGGTATTGAGGAGGGCAGGGAGCTGCGTACAAATGAAGAAGGCCATGCGTAGGCAGGGTTCCACTGATGAGGAGAAATGGGCAAGAAACAGGAGAATGGAGCCTTCCTCTCTCTTCCTCTGTCTTCCCTGCAATTTAGCTGAGGGCCAAATCTGTACCTTGCAGCCAGCGCAGCTGCAGAACAGGGCAAGGAGGTATCTCAAGTCTCCTAGAGGGACCCTTGGAATGTGCAGAGCAGCTCACTCCTCTGCTCAGAACCCTCCAAGAGTTCCCTTGTGAGCCCGGCTAATGCCCACAGGGCCCCAGGCCATCTTCCCTCCACACTCCCGCTCCTATCCCTTCCCCACCTCTCACTCCACGCCAGCCACACTGGGTTCCATCCTGTCCTTGAAAATGCCCAGCATGCTCCTGTCCTGGCACCTGTGTCCTCCTGGTCCCTATCCCTGGAATGTTCTTCCTTCCTTCAGAGATCTACATGGCCCAAACTGCATTCTATCCAGCCCTCCCTGCCTCCCCTCCATCCTACCACTTTCTATGACCCTCTCTTGCTCATTTTTTCCATAGCCCTTGCCACCACCTGATATACATATATTTACCTACTTACCATCAGTCTTCCTCCACTAGAACATGCACACATGATGGAGGGAACATCGTGCTGTGCTCTTCATGGCCATATTCCTGGCCTCCCAGCAGCCCTGGCCTGTATTAGGTGGTCAGTGAAGTATCATCAGATAAAGGAAGCTGCTGTGCCACACCAGGTGCTAGAGGAGCTCTGCAGCTGCTGGAGGGCCCCTGCACTGGGGCTGGTGTCCTGAGGGTCAGGGAGGGGTGGCTGGGCTTCAGATCCCTTCCTGCCTTGGGCACAGGGACGACCCCAACCTTACCTGGAAGGGTTGCTGTCCTTAGCAGGCCCCACGCGGCCCCACGCCTCCCAGAATTGCTTGCCTCAGGCTGGGGAGGGAGTGGCCTCGGGTTCACCTGTTTCCTGGCTCTTCCTGGCAGCCTCTGCCACTCCAGCCTCGGTGGTGGGGAGCCAGAGGGTCCATCTAGGCAGTGCATTTTCTGTTTCCTGCAGCTGATGCAAAAAATCACCACAAACTCAGAGGTTTAAAACAACACAGTATTATTCTCTTACAGTCCTGGAGGTCAGAAGTCCGAAATAAGGCTAATGGGGCTAAAATCAAGGTATCAGCGGGACTGGTTCCTTCCAAAGCGTGGGGAAAACAACCCATGGCCTGCCTTGGCCCCTCCTCCGTCTCCACAGCACAGCCGTCCGGTCTCTGCGAGTTCATCCCTCCAGTCTGTGCTTCCCGGATCTTCCTGCCTTCTCCTCTGACTCTGACTCCTGGGTCCCTCTGATGAGAACCTTTGTAATTACCTGGGGCCCACCTAGATAAGCCAGGCTAATCACTTCAAGATCTTTAACTGCATGGACGAAGTCCCTCTTGATCTATGTGAACATTCCTAGTGCCAGGGATAAGGGCATAAGCATATCCGGGAGCTGTTGTTCAGCCTCCGGCTGGCAGGAATGGAGCAGCCCTGCTCCCTAGCCACTGTCAGGATGTTACCGGAAAGAAGTCCTGATCCAGACCCTAAGGAAGGGCGCTCGGAGCTCACACAAGAAAGAATTTGGGGCAAGTTCACAGAGTAAAGTGAAAGCAAGTTTGTTTAAAAAGTAAAGGAATAGGCCAGGCATGGTGGCTCACACCTGTAATCCCAGCACTTTGGGAGGCTGAGGCGGGTGGATCACCTGAGGTCAGGAGTTTGAGACCAGCCTGGCCAACATGGTGAAACCCCGTTTCTACTAAAAATACAAACTTAGCCGGGCATGGTGGCTCATACCTGTAGTCCCAGCTACTCAGGAGGCTGAGGCAGGAGAATCGCTTGAACCCAGGAGGCAGAGGTCGCAGTGAGCTGAGATCACACCACTGCACTCCAACCTAGGCAACAGAGTAAGACTGTCTCAAAAAAAAAAAAAAATAGTAAAGGAATAAAAGGGTGGCTACTCCAGAGGCAGAACAGCCCCGAGGGCTGCTACTGGCTATTTTTATGTCTTGATCGTATGCTAAACAAGAGGTGGATTATTCATGAGTTTTCTGGGAAATGGGGCAGAGATTTCCCTAGGAACTGAGGGCTCCTCCCCATTTTAGACGTACATGGTAACTTCCGGGCATTTGTAAACTGTCATGCACCGATGGGAGTGTCTTCAGCATGCTAACGCATTCTAATCAGCGTATAATCAGCAGTGAGGGTAACCAGAGGTCACTTTCGTCACCATCTTGGTTCTGGCAAGTTTGGGCCAGCTTCTTTACCACATCCTGTTTTATCAGTGGGGTCTTTGTGACCTGCATCTTGTGACCTTCTGTCTCATCCTGTGGCTGAGAATGCCTAACCTCCTGGCGATGCTGCTCAGCAGTTCTCAGCCTCATTTCACCCAGCCCCTATTCAAGATGGAGTCACTCTGGTTCCAACACCTTTGACAATGACGTGCCAGGCACCTGTCCCACCCTGCTGAGGTGGGACCTTCCCTCCCAGAGTCCTTCTATCAGCTCTTCCTCAACTCCAGCTTCAGATCCCCCAACACCCGACCCCAGGCTTTCCCACATTTCCAGGACAGCTGCAGCCCTTGGTTACACCTTTTTGCTAAGGCTGAACCAGGGCTGGGCAGTCTCAGGAACTGGCGTCTCTGAGGCTGGGATGGTGGCACCTCCTTCAACTTTGAGGGGAGGGGTACAGAGACAAAGCAGGGATGAGAGGGATAGGTTAATATCCCAAGGTCAGTTTCACTCTTTTTTCTTCTGTTCTTTTGCCTCCTGCTTCTACTCTTCCCCAGAAAACACTCTGGCTTTTCTCCCTCTAGTTCTCCATCTTCCCCTACCTTAGCTAGTGACACTCAGTGCATCCAGCACTTTCCATAGTCAGTGCATGGAGGAGGGCATTCACAGAGTCTATGCTGGGGCTCTCGCTCCCCTCACCCCACCCCACACACAGGAATCACATTCTGAATGACGTTCGATGGGAAAAGAGGCCAAGCACATGGACACTGCCCCACCTCAGCCCAGGGTGACCACAAGAGCTGCAAAGCCATGAGGGTCACTCCCAGTGCCACCATCATCCCTGATGGCTGTGAGACCCACCCCCAGAGAGACTCCGTTTTCTCTTCTATAAAATGGAGATCATCCCTTTCAGGATGACTGTCCCTACCTGTGGTCCCCAAATTCCTGTCATAACTGACAAAATGTCCATGACGTGGAAGAATCGTTGTAACAGCAGAACAAGGAAGAAACAGAGATCATGGCTGCAAGAACCTCAGACTGCATGGGCACCTGGGGCCAGAGGTCAGGAGAACCCACAGCGTCCAAGACCAAGCCTTAACCAGGGCAAGTGCCAACTTTCACAGTGGTTTTATACGCTGGAACAGCCTCTGGACCCCTCCCATTGTCCCCCCTCAGGCCCCAGCAAACCCCACAGGGCCGAAGAAGAGGTCCTGTAACCACCCAAGGGGTTCACCTTGCCTCCTGCCTAAACAGAGCCAATTTATCAACACAGGGGAATTGCAACAGAGAAAGAGTAATTCACACAGAACCAGCTGTGCAGGAGATCAGAGTTTTATTGTTACTCAAATCAGTCTTCTGGAAAACTCAGGGATCAGAGTTTTTAAGGATAATTTGGTGAGTAGGGGGCCAGTGATTCAGGAGTACTGATTGGTTGGCCCGTAGAAGCTGTTTTCTGCTGAGTCAGTTCCTGGGTGGGGGCCCCAGAACTGGCTGGCAGGTCCAGGTGGGGCCATCCAGTTGTTAGAAATGTAAAAACCTGAAAAGACATCTCAAAAGGCAGATCTTGGCTCCACAA